GAAAAGAATGTGAAGGAGGAGGAAAAAAGGGAGAAGTTAAATCCAGTACCTTTGCTCTACCCATTTACTTAATGTATACAGATAATAATTAAGAAAAATATCCAACACATATTTATCAGGGGCTTCCTCTGGGGGCCAGACATTGTAATAAATGCAGACACTCCATCTTAATCTTTTTAGCGATCGTTTTACTTAGTGTCATTTTAAAGTTTATTTTTCTCCAGGCCACTAGAGAAAGCCAGCTGTTCACGCCACAAGGTGACCCTCTGACTGCTGCTGTGCATTATGACCACGGTGTTTTCCCTAAAGCCAAGGATGAGCCTCTGACACAGCAGTCTGTAATCCATACGCCTCTGTCTGCGGACAGAGCACTTAATAAGAAGAACAGAGCACAGGTGGGAATCTGAGCTGCCACAGCTCCCTTTGAAGAGTCGGGTTGCTAAGACCATACCATCAGCAGAGCAGGTGGAAGTTCTACCACATGAGGTCAGACTCCCAGAAAAACCACTGGCATGCATCAGCCTAGGAATAAATGAGGAGCCAGCACTTTTTTCTATATGAATTATCAGAGCCGGTTTAAATCTGATGGAGCTCATTAGCATTGAAAGCACGATCCTGCCTTCACCCCCACATAACTGAAGAGGGTAAAACCTATTTTTTTTTTCAATGCTGGAGATTGAACCCAGGGCCTTGTACATGCTGGGCAAGTGCTCTACCACTGAGCCATTTCTTTTAAGACAGGGATTTGCTAAATTGCCCAGATTAGCCTGGAATTTGCAATCCACCTGCCTCAGCCTTTTAAATGGCTAGAATTACAGGCATTTGTCATCATACCTAAGCCAAGATGAATGTAATCAATTTTTTAAAAAAAGCTCTGATTTTTTTTCATGAATATAATTCAATACTTTTTTTTTTTTTTTTTACAATTTCAATACCTTAAATGCAAGTGATGAAATTATTTTCTAAAAACAATTATGCCTGGGTATGGAGGTGCATGCTTGTGATCCCAGCACTTGGGAGGCAGGAGGATCACTATGTGGTGAAGAGCAGCCTGGCTACACAGTGAATACAAGACCAACCTGAACTACATAGCAAGACCCTGTCTCAAACAAAACAAAATAAAACACAAAACAAGAGAGATCCCTCCTATTATGTAAGGTGTGAGTTTGCTTCATTTGCCTATTGGCTAATTCATTACTATATGTTTGAACTGATACAGGCATGGGTTAACCATGCCCAGAGATATCACACCTTCCACCCCATTTGAGATGAACTCTTTCTCCTACCATGTGCTCACTTCAGCATGCGCTGTAGGAAAGAGCTTGTACTCGTACTTTGCTTTTGCACACGTTCTGGTCTCCTGTAGACTCTTAGGTGGTTGAACCATACAAACCCCTTGTACAATTCAAGTACCCTTTACTATAAAAATAAGGCCAGGAGGCTGAGACAGGAAGATCACTGAAAGTTTGAGGCCAGCCTGAACTACATAGTGAGTTCAAGGTCAGCCTGGACTATGTAGCAGAACCCTATCTCAAAAAAAAAAAAAAAAAAAAAAAATGCTGGTAGCTGTGGCATATGCCTGTGATCCCAGCTTTACAAAATGAGTCGAAAACCAGCCTGAACTACCTCGTGAGACCCGGTCGAAATAACAGTCTCAAAAAAAAAAAAAAAAAAAAAAGATCAAAAGCACTGTTGGAGTTACTAGCATACACACCATCTGCCAATCTTGCTCAACAAGACTGTAGAAGAAGCTACAGAATGGGAGTTTTGCCAAAAGATCATGCATGGTCAGTAAGGAGTTAACAGTTAAGTGAAATATTACCATGGGTTCTTAGTCACCTCACATGAGCACACATCACTACTCTCCTGTAATTCCCTTGGAAAGGCCTTTGAATAATAACCTTTTGGGGCCAGGGAGATGGCTCAGTGGAATAAGCGCTTCCCTGGCAAGCACAAGTGCCTAAGTTCAATCCCTGGTTCCACCAAAAAATAAATAAATAAATAAATAACCTTTTAACTAGGCTTCTGCCACAGCACACTATTCCTAAACACGAAATAGATTTTTACAAATTCTATTGTATAAAAATCTATTATATGCACATCTGTAATCCCTGTACACAGGAGGCTGAGGCAAGAGGATTGCTGTGAGTTTGAGGCCACCGTGGACCCTTCCCAGAAAAAAATACTAATTTGGGGGGGATGTTATTGCACACCTGTAATCCTTACACTCTGGGAGACTGAGGAAGCAGGATCAGAAGTTCAAGCCTAGCCCACACAACTTAATGAGACCATGCCTCCAAATTAAAAATAAATAAGAGAGGGCCCAGGGATGAGGTTCAGCATGAAGATCACAGGTTCAACTGCCCATACCACACCAACACACAAATACACATACATACATACATACATACATATATGTATATACATGTGTATGTCATATATTTTTAAAAATTGCCATTCAGCTTTCCATGTACATATAATGCAACAGTGATTTATCTTATTTTTTTATTTTTTGGCACAACCGGGGATTGAACTCAGGCCCTTGCACTTGCCAGGGAAGTGCTTATTCCACTGAGCCATCTCCCTGGCCCCAGTGATTTGTCTTAAATTGTAAATCTTTGGAGCACAGATGATAATATAATATCCACAGTGTTGTTTTTCTTTGTTTTTGTTTGATTCCGGGTCTCACTATATAGTTCAGGCTGATCTTCAACTCACTATGTAGCCCAGGTTGGCCTTGAACATGCAGTAATGTCCTCCCTCAGCTCCCTGAGTGCTGGGTTCACATGCATGCACCACTATGCCTGGCTGAGATACTGTTAACCAAGGGAAGAGGGAGATAATTAAGAGATGCCTATAGCCAGTCTTTCTGTGACACTGCCTGCCTTTGGCAAAAGACCTGCTGAGTGCCATCACTGTACGTATGTGACTCTAGTACTATCATAGTCTAGAGTATGTGCAGCTGCAATTAATAAAACCCAATCCTAGCAGAATCTGAGACAGCAGCCCTGAATTCTAGCCCTTATCCCCTTCTGAAAAGTGACTTCTCTATATCACTCAGATCTATTATCTAACCTCTTTTGTTAGACTTGATGAAAGCAAGTCTTATGAGTAACTGCTTCTGGCCCCTATGCTGAGACCCAGTGCTCGTTCAAAGCCTCATAACTATGGTTGCTATGGAAACTGTTCCTTTTTCCTTCACAACCCAGCCTGGCTCTCTGCTTCCACGTGGCACTTATTCCTGATTGCAGAAGAGGCCTGCACATCTCTCCACATACTTTTCTAGATTCGGATCTGCCTTTGATGAGAGGCAGGGAGAAATTAGTAGAACATTGTGTCATGTAGGGTGGTCTTTCTCCTTCTGTTTCTAAAAAGGATTTTCAGAGCCATGTCCAAATTGGTGAGTGAGGGGCTGGGGATTTGGCTCAGTGGTAGAATGTTTGCCTAGCAAGCTGGAAGCCCTGGGTTGGGTCCTCAGCACTAAAAACTACCCCCCCACTCCGCAAAAAAAAAAAAAAAAAAAAAAAAGTTCCTACTCAGCATAAATCACCATTTATGGTCACCTAAATTACAGCAACACTCTCCAGCTGGTGGGGCTTGCCCCGTTAGCTCAGTTGTTTAAGCGCCTGCCTAGGCAAACCCAGTCAGGCTTGCGGGACTGCA